ATTTGTTTCGAAGTTAAATATTTTACATACTAACTTATCATTGATATGCTGGGATTAGCTGTCACAAACAAATATCAGTAGAAAAGTAACGAATTTGGATTCAATGCAGAGTACATAAAACTAAATGAAACTTAACCTTATATAAGTCTTTAATTATTGCATAAAAATGGTTTTTATTAGCAATAAGCTAACCTACATAGTTTTTAAAAAATTATGTTACTATTTTGTAAAAGGATTATTAATTCTATGTGCATGGCTCAACAAAAATGCATGTTATGACCTATCACAAGAGTTACATACATGGCATCAAAACATACACTATAACTTACACTTTTATACTATGTAAGTTTTAATTTCAAAAAGAAATATTTAAATATATTCTCCATCTGAACCTCTGAGTCAAATGAATCGGTGGCACTCTGACTTCTCATTTATAGTTTTTTCTCTTCTCTTATAATGGGCTCAGATTGTTTAATTAATTAGAAGTGCATATTACAGATACTGACTAGTCAGAATATAAAATGCCAACTTTTTATCTTCTTGGTTTATTAAGAGTTTACTATATTTGTTCAACCCACATGGCATGCCTCATCAAGTGTCTCTGTTTTTCAAAAATTGTCTGTATTTATCTTTGACACTGCTGTTGGACAGGTTTATATGACAATATAGGAAGATGTTGTCTTATATTAATAAAGTTATTTTTGAATTTATATAATTTATATAACTTTGAAAATTCATTATTGTTCTTTAAAACAACTAGTCAAATAATATAAAAAAATTTTGAAACTAATATTACATTTCAAGCTATTTAAAGTAAATGTTCTGTAAACTTGCTCATGAACTTATCATTCCAGCCAAGAAATACTCAATTGAAACATCTAAAACAATCCTTTTTAGTTTTTTTTACACCAAATGTAAAGAATATTGAAAACAATACTTTGAGTGAAGATATTTAATATATAATTGTACTTTCCTTGAAAACGTACAGTCAACCACTTCACTGTCTTGGAATTACAAATATTAATCAGAACAGAAACCCCATACCTATTACACAACATGTCTGCACTCGATACTTGTCTGTTTCACAGCATTGGTGAGCTAGAAAACTTAACTCAACCTTCATTTCCTGCAAAATAAGTATGAAATATATTTAGTTCTGAAGTATAGGAATGACATGTATTAAAATGTTTTAATGAAATCTTAACATAAACTTACTCTTCATGATGAAATTTGAAGATTTGAAAACAAATAGTATATTTCTAGTATATAAACAATCTACTGAATGGAACACTTCCTACAATTTCCATCTATTTTTAAACATTAATAATGGGGTTTGCTTCAATATATACAATAAGATATACTGGGGATAGGAAATATATAAATTACAAACGAACTAAAATTTAAAAATATAAAAACAATTAAGAGTTTGCTGAAGTGGGTCAATAACAAACTCCAACCAATATTTTGGTTATCAATAAGAATACACTGGCAAACTCTAATCTTCATCTTTCTTAACAGTTATTACTGATCGGCAAGCTCTGAGACATGATTACCTATAATATATGACTGGTAAAATTAATATATATATATCATTATTATGAATAATGTTTGACTAAGCAAGCTACATTCTGGATCTTTATCACCAGTGATTACCTACTAACAAATGCAACCTACATCACTATTACCAGTAATTTCTGAGTACAAAATACAATCTGCACTATAATCAACAATAATTACTGACTGGCATGATTCAATATATATCTTGATTACCAATACTTACTGACTAGTAAGCTACAATCTACATCACTATTACTTGTAGTTATTGACAGACAAGTTTGAACTAGTAACTTTCATACTAGTGATTTTTGACTGGCAAGTTTGACTGAGTACTATGATTATCAATAAATTTTTATGAGAAAGAAAAGTTTCAATATGTTTCAGAATTACAAGCAACTTTTTATTGGCAGGTAAAAATATGTATTGTAATTCAATACACTAGACTGACAGCACTTGTGCTTTCTTTCAATAAAAATAAAAATCATGACACCAATGTTTCACGTGCATAATCACTTATTTGTATTAGGTTAAAAGAAAAAACATACTCTAGATGTTTTGGAGGACAACATGATCCACAATCTTAAAGAGACTGAAACTTGTAGTGTGCATTATTTCTTTTAACCTTATACAAATAAATTTATGGTGCACACGAAATTTTGGTGTCATGATTTTTATTGGATGTATTATAATTATTAGTGTTTGGCACATCTTAAGTGGAATGATAAATACAGTAAGTGCATGTAAATACCAGGTTCTTTAACTTTATTACTGTATTACAATTTGTACAACGGTTTTAGACACCATTACACAAAAACTTAGTGAACTGAAATCTGATAGCACAATTACTTTTGTGGATGCACCAACCATGTTTTTAAGGCTAAAAAAAATATATATTTCAGGGATATATGAAACTAACAGTTACTATCTAGTAACATTAATTTCAACTATTTTAAAAATTTTGGATCTCAATCATTACCAAAAATCTTTGTATTCATTGAAATATGGTTTAGTGAACTTTTGCTACCATTATTTGATTAGATCAGTTAAACATAAATTAATGGCTTACTAAAATCATGTAATTCTCATTATCATGAATAGTAAATTAGAAAGGATAGAAATATTACATTACCTTCACATAAAGCAGGTTAGAAAAAATATCAGTGTTGTCTAAGCGATAAGGATCCACTTTCTGAAGAGCCTGAAATCCTTCTATTGCTTGGTCGACTTCTAACAGTGAATATTACAAATTTTACTAACTCTTAATCTCTGAATATGATGTGAACTAAATTTGTGTCAACAGTCTTATTTCACAAAAAAATCTAAAATCGTCATTTTTTATCTATACTTAGATATTTTTCCTTAACTGGACTATTTCACACTTATTGTAATTTTTATTGAATTATCTACTTTTTTGAGGTAAAGCAGTTTTGTCTAAACGTACAATCTTCTAGTTTAATGATAGCATAACATATTAGGACGCACACATTGTACTATTTCATTTTAAATTTCTACCATCTGCGATATTCGCTTTTTCTCAATCAATTAGCCATTGGTGTTTGAAATAGTAGCGAGTGTTTTCTAGAGGTAAGTACACAATTGTATGCCATTGAAATCCATCAATGATGGCTATATAGTCTTTCACAATGAGATGAATATAAGGCATAAAAATATGAGAACATCTAACTCTCTAAGGAAAATAAGGACCATCTCTCTCAGTGAAGAAAAAAAAACACCCATACTTTATATATTACGTAGCACACAAGTCAGTATGTCAACAGTATGCTAGTTGCGATCAACTATTTGAGACTACTGTGTTTTAAGAAATGAACATTTCCACTAATAACAGATAACAAGTGAAGTAAATCAGAAGAGGTGTCACTGAAATCAGGCAAATATCTCATTTTGTTACCTGTAATCATTGAGAAGCCATCTGATTAACCTAGATACAACAAAACTAAATGTAGTAGACTAAACATTTTGAGACTTTGATATTTCAAACATTCACATTATAGTTAAGTTTATTCTAGCCTGAACATTATAAACAATCTGAAATCCATAACAATTTCCACTGTTGGAATCAGAAAAGTTTCAGATGGTCATAAGAGATTTAAAACTTCTGAAAATTACCTATGTAACCTATGCTATTTTAAAATGAAAAGAAGGGGAACTGAATATAAAAGAAAGAAATGCCAGTATAGAGAAAATTTCAAAAGCAAGAACTAACTTTTATGTTTTAACAAACTATTACTGAAAATTAAGCTTTTATATTGAATCTGGCACAAGTTAGTTTGTGACTGATGCAACATACGAGTAGGAAGTTTGCTTCCACAGCTGACAAAAGAATGATTCTCTGAAAAAATATTTATTGTAAAAAATAGTGAAAAACTACTGTAAGCATCTAAAATATATACAGAGAAACTGTAAAGTTTGAACAATAGAAATTGTAATTGAACAGAGAACTTAATAAGTTAAAAGTATATTTTAGTTTTAGTTGTCACAGAAGTGAGACTTCACTAGTATATGCTGCAACTGAGTGTTAGAGACTGTTCATGAGTAGCTGACTAAGATACATTAGATTTTGTTTATGGAAAATTTTAGATAATGTGTAGGAAGTTTATATCTTTGGTGAAAATCATAAATATCTTTGGTGTTTGTGACTTTTTTGTAACATAATGAAACAACAGTTTTATAAAATTTTTGTGACAAACTTATATGTAAACTATACTGTGTTCTTAGTTCTTTGCTCCATCGATTTTGTATGCATAAAAAAGGGAGCTTCTTCTATGAAAGTTGGGTCAGTAAGGATACTTCTTGCAACAAATTTGTTGTGGAAGATTTTAACAATTTGAACACCTAAACTAGGGTAGATTTAAATTATAAGCTGGAACATGAATATTTAAGATCTATATATCTGACCTAAAATAAGCATGTTATTCTACCAAACATAACTTTATCTGTTGTCACACATAATGTCCAAAATATTGTGATGAAAAAGCCTGTGCAGAAAGAATATTTTTAATAGTATTTAATAAGGTTAAAACACAATCTTAAGAAATTATAAGGCTACATGATATGAACTACAGAGGGTTGAGTATTTTATATTGAAACGATTTTGAATTTGCAAAACAGCAAGTACTGCAACCATGACAGCTGCTATAATGTTGCAGACGAAGGAAATGTATCAGAACTACATTTTGACATTGCCATCTTGTAGACAAATTGATGCTACCAAAAACTGTTCACTTTTGGCAAGGGTATGTAACAGCCCTTTCTGATGCAAATATTCATATTGTAAAGAAGTGTTCTGGTTAGGGATTTAGAATTTCCAAGAATTTCCTTGTACTTAAAGGCACTGGAGAACAAAAGAATTTGGTTCAACCTGGGGACGAGGTCTATCCAAAAAGAGACAAGAAACAAGTCATACCTCAGCCGAGGTACGAAAAGTGCTTAGTTTTGTACAGGTGAGAATCCACGAACATAAAGTTCAGTGGCAAAGCCATCTATATGACCCAAGCAACAGTACCCAAAGTAATGAAGAGTGATATCCATCTGAAAAAGCAAAACAAGTTACATGTACACAAGCTGCTTACATAACATATCAATTTAATCATTGCATACTTCATGCAGCTAAAGAATAAAATGGGTATTCATGCTATTCCATACGAGGAGAGCCTAGTTAAGTTGCCAGAGTATTGATTTCTGTGCCAATAGACTGTTATAATGGTAGCTGAGAAATTGCCATCCTAGTATTCCAGATGGATTCTGGAAGGAATCAAGGAGGAGTAGTTTGTGTTGTTGACAGAAAAGTCTTATGACAGAGCATTTATAAAGGAAATTACACTGCAAGGTTATTGTCAAGGTGTATGACCATCACAATTAGCATAACAAGACAAGGTAAAATGATGAGGCTCCAAAAAGTTTTTTATTATAATGTACTCAACTTTTATATTTTTGCTTAAGTTTACAGATATCATTATGAAATATTAATTTCACACTGTATAAAGGTTATAAGATGATATAACAAGCACTAATTTTTTCATTAACTTATTATACACTTAAAATATTGAAATAATGATGTCATATTAAAAGAATAATACTTTCCAAGATGCTGAAGGTGGAGATTAATATATTATACATAACTATGAAATACAAGCAACACATTTACCAATCATCAAAATTTGAGTATACATGAAACACATTTTACAGCTTGTATGCAAAACAGGAAGGGACAATTTGGTGTATTAAATCCAGCTTAGCATAGTTACCAATATAAAACCGTCTGATTCTAGATAAAAACTATACTTACCAAATAAAAATGGTAGTCCCATTACGAATTACCGAAAGTCTGTCTTAAAAAATGAACTTGAAAGAAATAAGGAACATTTTTTTGCCATTTATACCATGTATTGGTTTATCTTAGAGATGTAGTGGCATAAAATATGCATATTTAATTTTTTTATCCGGATGTTTATAATTTTTTTATAAGCTTCCAAATTTAACTTGCAATTTGTTGTCCCATGTGTTTAACAGTAGTTGTTTTCACTTATTCTGAATCATCACTGTTTGGTTTCTATTGTTATTCTTTACATTAAGATCAGTTTCTAGCCAGAACATTACACCTAGCATAAGCCTGCTCTCTCAGCATTCAGTACTCATACCATAATTAAGTAGCAATAAACCCTAAGCAAACAAGAGAGAACTATTGCATCTCTGATTATAAGAAATGTTTCATGTGTCATAAACATATACACTGTATATGAACTGTCTAGCAAGAAACAATATTGAGAAAACACTTCTGCTATCACATTTATGGATTTTGTTTCAAATTACATTAACATACTTTATCCCAATTATGTTTAACTGAAATAACAAAATACCTGAATATTAACCATTACTGGAAATGGGTTTTGACTGACTATATATAAAATCATCACAAAAGTAAAATAACACAAATAAGCTAGCCTCTTAAAGAAATTATACTTTGTTTCTGATGTGCACTTAGGCATTTGTTGTAACCAGTATAAACATAGACAGACTTAATGCTGTCTGACAACAAGCAGAAATATGATCAAAATTGAAAAAATAACTACTTATTTGATATCTAATCATGTTGTAAGGTTTTACTTCAAATTTATAATCCACTAAAGTGTAGGTGTGAACAACTTATGATTTGTAGGTATCAAAAGCCAGTTCCTACTTTAGTTTTGTGTGCATTTACATTAGTTCTCCAGTGGCTTGAGAGGATTAGTAAATGAATGGCTATGAATCAAAATTTTATTTTCAACCCCAGATACTCATACTTTTCATATTGTGTAGAAGCACAGCTACTCATACCCTTTACATCATGTAGAAACAGATCTATTCATACCACTCATACCCTTTACATCATGTAGAAACAGATCTATTCATACCACTCATACCCTTTACATCATGTAGAAACAGATCTATTCATACCACTCATACCCTTTACATCATGTAGAAACAGATCTATTCATACCACTCATACTCTTTACATCATGTAGAAACAGATCTATTCATACCTCTCATACCATGTAGAAAGAAAGCTCATCATCTCACTCATGTTGTGTAAGAACATGGCTAGTTATATATTTCACGTTATGTAGAAACATTGCTAGTCAAACCCCTCATGTGTAAAAACAGAGCTATCATATATCTTATATCATGCAGAAACATAGCTACTCATAGCTCTTGCATCATGTAGAAACAGTTACTTCTACTCTTCATGCCATGTACAAACAGTTATCATATATCCCATTTCATTTAGAAACAGTTACTCATGCCCTTTATGTCATGTACAAACAGTTATCATATATCCAGTTTCATTTAGAAACAATTAATCATACCCTTTATGTCATGTAAAAACAGTTATCATATAGCACATTTCATTTAGAAACAATTAATCATACCCTTTATGTCATGTAAAAGCAGTTATCATATAGCCCATTTCATTCAGAAACAGTTACTCATGCCTTTTATGTGATGTATAAAGACAGTTACTTTCAGCTCTTACTTCATGTAGAAACAAAGTTACTCATATTCCCCATGTCATGTAAAAACAGAGCTACACATACCTCTCATATCATGTAAAAACAAAACTAATTCTATCTGTTATGGTATATATATATATGCATAAAGAAACAGAACTACCATACCTCTCATGTTATGGTAAGCAATAGACACTTGGGCTTTAAGGTAAGTACTTGCTAGAAAGCCCACTTCCTGTAGTCGGGTATAAATGTCTAATGCTTCTTCATTCAACTGTAGTTCAAGATAAGCATGAGCAAGAAAGAATTCCTTGATCCAGTGGTTTGGTAAAGACAAAGTTGAAAGCTGTTCAGAAAAGTAGTAAAAAACTATTTAGCTGCAAAGTATATCATTAGAAAGCCTGAGTAACTTCATTAAAACAATATTAAAATTGTAGTGACAAAGTATTACTAACATGGATTCAGAAACAGTTCACACAAGTTGCTTAACTGTGCACTTTTAAGTTTCCCAGGCAGTACAAATGCTTCATGTGTACTTCATCAGCACAAAGCAATTTCTTAAACAGAAATCAACAGGAATTTCAGAAGTAACATTTATTACTTTATGATAACTAACTTTAATTTTACACAATTAATATTTCTGGATTGTATTAGAGTTCAGTTAGTAAATTTTCAATCCTATTTCCATGTTCAAATCCTCTACTCTCAAACATTTCTATTTAAAAACTCTCAAGAAATTATTTCTATAGAAACACATTTTTACAGTTCATAGTTTTCACTAGGTGCATGTAGGTATGGATTAATATATCATATCATCATAGCAAAAATATGACACAGTAGTTCATAAATCTAACACTAACTATGAAGCTTTGATAAGAGGGTTATCAAGACAAGAAATATATTATTACTCTGGTGATATTATCTGTTAACTTAAAACTTTCACCCAATTTCTCCAAGCTCTTTCTCTTGGCTACTATTACTTGGCTTGAGAGCATAAACTAAATGTATGCAATTAGTTTTTGGGTTATTGTAATGTAGTACACATTGCATTTTTACCTTTCTGTAAATGGTTCCTTGTTAGGAGTTCCAAAAGAAATTGTGGTTTGTAGTAATAGAAATATTTAATGATTTTTCAAAAATGGGTCTGTGTGTGCATGTGTTACAAACTTGTCTAATAAAAAATACTTTTATATTATTTCAGTTGACTATGGATGTTGAGTACAATATATTAAACTGGTTTTGGGGCTTCACCACATTTTTAGTCTTTGTTGCCAAATCCAGTTGTACTCTACATGATGCATCTTGACAATAACCCTGCAACATAGTTTCCTTTGCAAAAGCTCTGTCAATAAGGTTAATGCATCCAAAGCACAACAATTCTCCTTGCTGATTTCTACAATTCATCTAGTGTACAAGAACAGCTGTTTAATAGTTGAAAACCACTGGTACAAAATCTGGTAATTTTACTGGTATATCTTTGTATGGAATAGCATGAATATTTATTTCATTCTCCAGCTGCTTGAGGTATACACATTTTACAAGATGCTGCACTCTGCTTACCATGGCTACTGCAGGACTCTTTTCTGTATGATGGTGGTACCCCAAGTTGATCCATATTCCTATGTTTTCCAATATTAAGTCTTTGACTCTGATCCGCCAATATATTGATACACTTGTTTTAATACTTTGCTGAGCAGCCGATATATTAACAGGAGTATAACAATTGAGGATAAAAATAATTATATTTATAACTTGAGTATTTGTCCTTTTTATGGAGGGGGGGATAATTTTTCCAACAAACTAAATAACAAAACAACTAAATTGGATGTTTCATGAAATTATTTTCATGGAGCAAGCCCCAAACCATTTTCAAATACACTGTTTTTGCAGTAGTACAAAGAAATGCATCAATCTTCAAGTTTACGATTCACCCTTTTTAATAGCCAGTGTTTTTCAAAAACATTTGGTATTGTTACGTCTCCGTTTGTTAATTAACTTTCCGTAACTTCGTTCCGACGAAACTTTAGCGACACAAGTCCTTACTTAATAAAACTGGTTTATTCTTTCCGAATACAACTTTACGATACACTTATTTTTAACAATCGCTCTATAACAAACGCTATATCAACGAACGTCAACAATACTTCTGACTGCAGTTCAATTACTCACTATCTACACACACATTACCTTACCGTCACGTTGTCACCCTCTTTTATATACCAGACTACCCTATATCTAGTAAATGCTAGAGCATTCGCCAAAGTACAGGATAGTTCTAGAAAGTAGAGGGCGTGAGAATAGTCACGTGATCTCGATGACGCAACACTGCCCCTCCTTAATATTGTTCGTCCCGAACAATAACCACATACAATAAATTAATAACGATTAACAATAACTTAATTAACTGTACAGAATTACAAACACAAAATTACAATTCAACAAAGTCTCTTAATTTTACGGGACGCATCTTTTTCCGTAATGGTCTCCATCTCGTTGGCTTCTGCTTCACGTGGGGTTCATCAGGAAATGTCCTATCATCGTCAACAGTCACATCAGTGGTAGTAACTTCATCAAGAGCTTCACCGTTTCCCTTCTCAAAACTGAGTAGAGTTTCTTCTTCAGGTGTCACGTCTTCAGCAGCGTCATTTGTTCTGTGGTCCACTTCGTCCCAACCCCATATGACATAGTGGATCGTCTCTCAGACGTGACTTTCTGGGTAAAATGTGGTCGGCGAGGTAAACCAAAAGTGGTGCATGCCAACAGGCTTTGGCGTTATCACGGTCCAGGACATTTCACCCTTCCCATGGAGAAGACAACTTAGGAGACTTCCCTTTGGTCTTCCTGGGATTATACAA